AAAAAAAAAAAACTAAAAATAAAGGAAGGGAGTATTTGTCTTAGTTTTCCATATAAACTGTAAGTCCAGGTAACCAATTAGATAATGAGGACAAGTTATTTACAAGAAAACATTGGCTAATGAAGAGTGATAGCATTACTATTTTGCATTCTCTCTCTGAATAAGTAAACATTGCCAGTGGGTAATAAGACCATTAGCTGAGGACCTGTGAGAAACTTTATAATGGGACAGCTAAGGGGGGCTGACAGCATCTGAATCCATTATTTAACGTTAAGAATTGTCTTTAGAAAGGTAACCACTATTATGCATTCTCTTGTGATTCACTGGGATATAGACAAGTCCTCTATAAAATAGTCTTTCCAAAAGTTTGGACAGAAATTTGATCAAGGCTCTTTATAGGAAGTACACTGGACCGAGAAATATGTTAAAGGACACTTCGTGAATCCTGTCAGCAGAACTCATAAAGTGTAGGCCAGGTGCAGCAGCTCACACCTGGAATCCTAGCGCTCTGGGAGGCTGAGGTGGGTGGATCACCTGAGCTCATGAGTTCAAGACCAGCCTTAGCCAGAGTGAGACCCGTCTCTAAAACTAGCCGGGTATTGTGGCAAGTGCCTGTAGTCCAGCTATTTGGGAGGCTGAGGCAAGAGGACCTCTTGAGCCCAAAAGTTTGAGGTTGCTGTGAGCTGTGATGCCGTTGTACTGCAAAGTGAGACTATGTCCCCCAAAACAAAAAACTCCCATAAAATGAAATCTCTAGAGAAAAAAGAAATCTCAAGTACAAACAAGAATAGAGATTATAAAGAAGTATAAGAAACATATGAGGTCTGACAGTTAAGTTTGAGAACTTATCCTAGAAAAAGTACTACATACCTCACTGCTGAATATCACTATAGTCACCTTTGAAGCACTTCTCCTGGGAAGCCATGCACCAGCACCAGCACCTAGACCACCCTTCAAAGCAATTTCTGGAACAACCATCAGAGCTATCATTGTATTACCCTTGATGTCCTGAATGTCATCTTTCTTTCAAAATTTCCTTTATCTTTGGGGGAAAAGTCATTGGGGGTCAGATCAGGTGAGTAGGGAGGCTGTTTCTATTACAGTTGTTCACTGGCTAGAAACTCCCCCCCAGACAGCGTCCTGTGAGCTCTTTGCTTTTGTCCATCAGGGAGCTCCTCTAGGACCATTTCTGTGCGCACCTTTCTCATGCCAACATTTTTAGTTAAGATTTTCCTGTTTCTCTGTTAATGTTTTACATGGTCTGCTATGCTTCTGACAGTGAGCCAATGATTTTGACTCACAATCTGACAAATTTTGGCAATGTTTTCATCAATTCTGCCCATGACTGGCTGCCCTGACCTCTTTTATCAGTGTTGCTTTCTCTCCCTTCAGGAAAATGTTCAATCCATTTGTATGTGTCCACTTTCTTCATGGCATTATCTCCATAAACTTAGACTAATATGTCCTTGGTTTCACTTTTACTTCTTCCAAGTTTAACGTGAAACTTAATGTTTGTTGCTCTAATTCAAGCTCCAACCTTTTCTCATGGGCACAAAAACATGCAACAGCAATGATGAACACCACTCAGTAAGACACCACACATGGACATGAATGCAGCTGTGAGACGCTGATATACCGAGGTTGTGGTACCTTACCGTGCTGTTTGTACAGTGCTGCAGTGTAAGCACATGGTGGCAAGTTCATGAACTTAAATGTCAGGCCTCTCATATCAGCCCTTTCAATGGATCCTGGTTTGATCTGAACACACCGATCAAATTTGAACACTAATTAGGTATTTAATGCTATTAAAGCAATTTTTTTTTCTTGGAGACAAAGTCTCACTCTGTTGCCCCAGACTAAGGTGCTATAGTGTGTGCTTAGCTCACAGCAACCTCTAGCTCTTGAGTTCTTGCCTCCCCCTTTCCAAGTAGCTGGGACTACAGGCTTCTGCCACAATGCATAGCTATTTTATAATTTTTTAGCAGAGATGGGGTTTTGCTCTTGCTCAAGCTGGTCTTGAATTCCTGACCTCAAGCTATCCTTCTTCCTTGGCCTCCCACAGTGCTAGGATTACAGGCGTGAGCCACAGTGCCTAGCCAGAAAATTTTGTAATATAAAAGGAGTATTAAGTAGTAATACAGAATTAATTAATTGTAAAAACATTTTAGGTAGGGCAGTAGTATTGTGGTTATGTGTATTTTTTTTCACAGCAACCTCAAACTCTTAGGCTCACGAGATCCTCTTGCCTCAGCTTCCTAAGTAGCTGGTACTACAGGTGCCCACCACATCTATTTTTAGAGACAAGGTCTTGCTCTTGTATAGGCCTGTGTCTTCCTGAACTCAAGCAGTCCACCTGCTTAGGCCTCCCAGAATGCTAGGATGCTAGGATTACAGGCGTAAGCCACTGCGCCTGGCCTGTATTTTTTTTTTTTAATTCTCGCCTTCGAGCCTATTTAAAACTAGAAAACCCTGGTCCTTGAATTTCTTATCTATTCAATAAGGAAGAGGATTAAATGTTTTCCCTGCTTTCTCTTTCCTCTGGCCATTATGTAATAGCCACTCCCTCTTGTTTTTGTTCTCAGAATCGTATCATGTTATTACAGGGTGCACACAGTGGTATTGCTTGTGGGTGAGACTTTATCTAATCCATGTGTGTCTAGGGCCAGGCACTCCAGGGCTCAGGGTGGATGGCCTGCCTGACCCTAGAAAGCTGCTCTGTGCTCTTTCCCTGACCATTTGCCCCCTCCGGAGCAGGGTCTAAACACAGCAGTGCTGGATCTTAAGTCAGGGGTCATCCAGGGGATTGACAACCAGGAATTTATAGACTGGGATGAGTCAGACTTGGTGAAGAGCCAGCTCTCTGTGTGGACATTCTAATTCTTCAAGAGGTGATAACTGATTAATACCCCTGAGGAAATCAGAGGCAAGAACCACACAGAATAGTAATGATTTACACCTTTTTTTTTTTTTTTTTTGCATTAAGTTGCTTTTGTTGTTGTCCTAATTTTTTCTTTTCTTTTTGAGACAGAGTCTCACTTTGTCATCCTGGCTAGAGTGCTGTGCCATCACAGCTCACAGCAACCTCAAACTCTTGGGCTTAAGCGATTCTCTTGCCTCAGTTTCCCAAGTAGCTGGGAGTACAGGTGCCTGTCACAATGCCTGACTATTTTTTTGTTGTAGTTCTCATTGTTGTTTGGCAGGTCCAGGCTGGGTTCGAACCTGCCAGCCTCAGTGTATGTGGCTGGCACCCTAACTGCTGAGCTATGGGCTCTGAGCCTGTTGTTGTTTTAATTAATGATCCATTCTTCCCCCGCCCCCAGACAGAGTCTAACTTTTTTGTACTTCCCCTCTCCCTTAGAGTACCCTGGTGTCATAGCTCACAGCAATCTCTAATTCATGGGTTCAAGCGATTCTCTTGCCTCAGCCTCCTGAATCGCTGGGACTGCAGGCACCCACCACAACACCTGGTTATTTTTAGAGATGGGGTCTTGCTCTAGCTCAGGCTGCTCTCGAACTCCTGAGCTCAGGTGATCTGCCCACTTGGACCTCCCAAAATATGGGGATTACAGGTGTAAGCCCCTGTGCTAGGCCTAATTATCAATTCTTTTTTTTGAGAGGGAGTCTCAGTCACCCTGGGGTTGAGTACCATGGCATCACAGCTGACAGCAACTTCAAACTGTTGGGCTCAAGTGATTCTCTTGCCTCAGCCTCCAGAGTAGCTGGGACTACAGGTGCCTACCACAACGCCCGGCTATATTTTTTAGAGATGGGATCTCAATCTTGCTCAGGCTGTG